AAAAACTCCGTATTTTAGGTTTTAGGCCGTATTACAGTGTATTCTACGTGTTCTACTCTATTCATATCCATGAAGAGGACCTTGTCGGGTCGAAACAAAGTACCCCTTAAATAAAAGATGGGAAAGTTGTATCGATTGAAGATCTTCCAGACTGGTTCGCGTGTTTTGCTTTATATCGCACACCGCCCATGAATAACAAAGTCTTTGCAAAAGCTTATCTTAGTTGATTAATAGGGCTTCCCTACACCTCTTTATGACCTCTTTGGCGTTAGGGATCTGAGTACAGCTCATGCTTCATACCATCTAGCCTAAATTAGCTCGTGCATACTCCCAAGAAAGGAACTACAGAACTCATACCACATATTAGTCTATTTTCTCAGATAAACTTTAGATGTCTACATGGTCTTACCTTTACCAACATCTCCAATATTTTTTTTTTTTTCATTTGATCAGCGTACTCCCAGTAGGAGTTTACAATTGTTGAGAAAAAACCGAGTTTCTTTCTCCTAATCCCTCTAACTTGACTGAAATACAGGCATTCTGCGTTCTCCGTAGTAAACCAAGATTGTGAAACCCTTTGCCTAACCTTATGAAAAATTCTCTGTTTTAAGATGGTTTTAAAGACTCATTTCATTATTTTTTCCTATTGCAATCTCATTGACGCACTTAAATGCGTAGCTTTGAATCTGTTTTTCTTATCATTACACTTATTATCATATTTTAATCATCATCATCGTCATTTTTCTCATAATCGTTTAATTTTTATCACTTTTGACATTGGGAAACTGTCCATTCTATGTACGCCTTGACCTCTTTTATTTGAACAAAGGATTAAAGTAATATTAAAAATTTAAACAAATAGGAAGTTTTCTAATCCCTAGGTTCTTCGAAGCTGTTGAATTACTAGCGGACTTGTCATCTGCCAGATCGTTCAATTATAGCTCCGCACAGTTCAATACCAGAAAGGTTGATTCCATATTTACCTGAAGTGGTTCCTCAACACTTCCCAGGCAAACCCGTCCAACGACCCTTCGAGCTTCCAATTACGGAGGACTGAATTGCCGTCGCTCAGCCCGTGTCTCAGAGTATAATGTGTCAAGTACAATGAGTATTTCTCATTGTTCTAGGCAACACACCACCATGATCCATTGTCATCGTTGGTGCCGCTTTCCATCCCCGACTTATAAGAATTATCAAACAGATCACTCGCCGAGCCTAGTTTGTGAGAGGATCTTGTGATAGTTACTCTTGTCACGAGATCACTCTTTCTGGGATTTATCCAACGAGTAGTTCGAAAGCTCGAACCCATCGCATAGATAACTCCATTTTTCTCAAAATCGTTTGTGCAGCGAAAAACACCTGTTTTAATGAAAAAAATTAAGCGAATGAAAAGTTTCTCTGGTGAACCCCGAAAGTAAGATAAACCTCTTAATTATAAGGCTTGTGTCAGGGATATGTAAGCATTTTATATTTGCTATAACTTCTCATAAGCATTGATAGATCAATCGAGTGATAGATCGATACATCACCTCCTGTTCATATACTTCAGATATCAGGAAACTAAACAACCATTTTAAGACTTCTATCCTTGAAAAAAGGGTTAAATCACAAAAGAACCCGAAGAGACATCTTTTAAATTTATCTCGAGCTTGCAACATTGAAACAAATCTTAGTCCCACACTGGAATTTGAGCCTCACATGATTCCCGCGATTTCGTGGTCCTATGCTCTACTGTGGCATGCACTTCAAAGAACAGTAGAATTTTCACTTCAGACAACCGTCAGGTTCAGAACATCCTAGTCCTCGAGATCATCAAATATCAGATGTACAGACCTCCAGCCCTACTTTCTTGGCGGCTCCCTGGCGCATTTATGTAATGAGGAAGGATGCTCCAAAATCCCACATAGCTGTTATCCACGTTATCAAAATCTTTGTCATAACTTTGCTGCGTACTGCGTTTTGAAACTCTTAAGAAAAAGTTATCCATTCAAAAAGTGCCTATTAAAGTGTTAAAAACTCGACCATCACTTGTCTGGGATAATCTTTTGACATTGTAACGAAAAGTTAAATATACCTAAATCTTGGGAGTATAAGGGCTAATGAAAGGGTTCCCTAAAGATTAAATTTAGACATACATACAATGTTCGTTCATATCAGTCGCTCCTAATTATTTCCGGCCCCTTCACTCTCTAAATATTTTCTCAACTCGTCATTCTTTCTCGTAAGTTCTTTCGAAACTCTCTCTAACTGGTTTTTGAGATCAGATACTTCTCGCTCCTTTGCATCAAGCTTTGACTTCTGTTCCTCTTTTTCTTTCTCCATCTCATCTGATCTCTTTTGTAGATATTCGAGTTTAAAGGTAACGTCTTTGACTTGTTCTTGAAACCAGTCATTAAAAA